TTAGTAGGTTGTATCTACTGGTAAAACCCATGGTCGGGGAAAAGACCAGTAGGGGTAGTAGAATGATGTCTACATATAATCCATTACTAACATGTGAATTCAGTTCTCTCACTAATTCTACTTTTGGGAAACAGGATACAGTTACTGGCTCTTCGACTCAACTTTTTTTTTCACATCTTCATTATTCTGCTTCAAACCCTTCCGACTCATCATCCCCTTTCTCTTCCAACCTTCCTAGTAACAACTTTCCTCAAAAGCTACTTTACTAACTACACATTTGAATTTCTGCTAGTAAATCCAGATGGATCCTTCGCTCTGTTCAACTGGAAAAAGATAATTCCCGAATTCTTGTCTTAAGTCTGGATATATTTTCTTCATATTCAGAGATTTGACTATTCTTGTTATCGATAACCGCCCCGTTTTCCTTTATTGAAGACCAATTCTAGTTGAAAGCAAATCCTTCCCAATTTGATATCATTTCTGCGCGTACGCAATTTATTATTATACACATCGTTGTACTACTGAAATCCAATATACTAAGCGGTCTTGCATTCATATTAATACTGTCGAACTGGTTATAACGAAGATCTGTTTATAATGAAGATAAATTTCTCCAAGCCAATCATTTTTGAGTATCTGGCTGGCTATTACTATAGCGAATTTCATTAAGAAACCTGGTTATAAGGAATATTTTTCTCTGGTCCCGTATAACCAGGTTCGACTGTATGTGGTTATGCAAATGGAGTTTTATTTAATAGTTGGTTACACTTATGATTGTGGCCATACAAATGGGCAGAACCAGACAAAGGGAACATTTGACAATGTGAACCCACAATGGATGGTGTGGCTTGGATGACGCGTTACCAAAAATAAGCACCCCTTAACTATAGGGAGATGCTTATTTAACTTCGTTTAAATTACAGATCTGCATATAGAAACATTGTGTTATTTTCGGAGCCGTATGATATTTAATCTTTTTCAACCAAAACGCCACAATGGTAATTGCGTAATCGAGAATACCACTATTGGTCAGGTGCTCTTATCTCTTCCTCTAATATTTTCCTCAGTTTGCTATCCTCTTTTTCCCTTGCTAGTCGATTATTATTCTTTTCCCTTCTTTGCCTTTTCACTATCCTCTTCTTTGTTTTCAATCTACTACTCACAATGACTTCCACTCAAGGTTTGTTGGATTCATAGATCGTCAGTTTTCGATCTGATCAACTGTACTAATGGCTTGTTTTATTGTTTCAGAGGCAAACAGACTCATTCCTGAAACTCGTCCGGATGAGCCTGTGGACGAAATGAACGTTACAGTTGCAGTTGAGGATACACCGGATAAGAAAACATCTGGTTCGGCTTCAGCAGATCAGGTTATACCAAAAAAACTACAAAAGATTCTTAAGAATCTGAACTCGAGACAACGGGAACTCTATGACAACGCGCCCAACGATATCAAAATTAACGTTTCAGAAGTAATTTATGAAGAAAAAAAGAAGAAGGGTATGTGACTATATGTTTAGATGACTACGTCTCCAGATTTTTTGCTAACGTAGTATTAGCTACGTCGGTATTTGCGTTACTAAATACATAGGGCTTCAGCCCCACTATAATTATCATTGCGGTAACCACACTCGCTACTATTGGGATTAATATTGTGAGCAGACTGGTCATTGGAAACGAATATTTGATCAATAGTAATAAATAGTCTTGTCTTCAAAGAGTATACTTGACCACATTATGAGAGAAATGTTACATGATCCAGACAAGCACATTGAAAATCAAAGCGCGTTGATAAGACGATTTGTTTCATATAGGAGGTTTAGATTCATAAACACTAGTACACGCTACCAATACCACCACAATATAAACATAATGAGAAAATCGTCACTGTTACAAATGCTTTTCTTACACGTAGACCTTCTTTCGAAGAAATCAAGGACTTCCTACGTTGTAACTAAATCTCCAAGTTGATGTCTCTACTGTCCATATTATCAAGCTGCAAAACGTTGCTGTTGATAGAAATGTCGCGTCTGTCTGTTGCAACGGGCAATGAATCACGTTTCATTAATTCAGCCTCATTATTCTAGAGAGGATGAATCTTTAAGCTTGATATTACATGTCACAACTATTCATGAATCGTTATCACATTCTGAGGCTTACCTTAATATCCCATCTTCAATTTCAAATGCTGAAACGACGTGACTGTGATGCTACACTATAAACGGTGACGTATTCTCACAGTGCCGCATTCTCACGGTGCCGCAGAAATCAATCCGACACCAGCGCAGCTGCGAAATTTGGCAACAGGGGTACAAGCAGTGTCACAGCAGCGGTACAAACATTGAGCAGTACGGAATTACAGCGATACAGCAAGTCAAGACGTATAATCTTTAGATAATTAGGAGTAGCTGCTAAAAATAGCTCTATATATGAGCAGCATAGATCTCAGCCAGAATCGGTGTTTTGCAATGTGAATTTGATTCCTTGAATCCTTTTATTTCATAATATTATTGTTAATATTGACACTATTCTCGAAATTAGTTGATATATTTGAGAAACCCGTATATCAACGAAGGATAATTGCCATCTTGTCCCGCAATTATCTGAGTGGCGAGTACGATAGTTAATTGTTGTTTAGAAACGCGTTTGTTCTTAATCATACACCAGTGCGGGAGGCTATCGATTTATTCCCACGATAGTAGCCGACCTAGTTACTCGAGTGTCTAGTATTTGGCGTCACTCTACGACGAGAAGGTATTCGTAAGTGTAAAGTCCTGAATTTAACAAGGTCACTAACTGTAATCAGAGATTTAACTAGAAAGGGAGGCGCCACGCTCCGTCGATACTAGCTAATTACCCAAGTGCCGATTATTATCTGCTCTCCCGTGATAGTCGGCACGACATGACCAATGCGATTTTTTTCAACCTCCTACTCATACATATACACCCAGGCACTTCTCTCTATTGCGCATGCATTACTTCACAACATTTCTTTCAAACGCATAAATACAACAAACAATCATTTACGCCACTCCATATTACGCACATACGACAGTTTGCTACAATCACTAACAAGTAGATTAATGATGCGATAAGAAAATTCGTCTTTTCAACAAACAGGTGTCTTCTTGTCTTCAGTAAAATAGATAATCTCGTCATGCAATAAATGACTCAACGAATTATTGTATATCTACTATAATACTTAGAAGTTATATACGAGTCACTTCGAAAGTTTCCCAACGCGTAATCTCGTTCTATACTCAGACCGCTTTTGATCCATTGACGCGCCAAGTCTATTACTGGGAAGACTGAGAAACAGAGATAGAAATATGCAAAGAAGGAAATGGGTAGGCAAATAATTGTGTAAACGGGACATTATGGTATTTATTCTAAGGCGTTCTTTATTTAACACGTTCTGAACGTGTTAATTTTACGTTACCGCGGGTGACTTGTAATATCGATTACATTAATATGATACTGAATAAAACAAATCACCAATTATTAAAGAGGAACAATTCAAAAGCTGTTGTATGTACTCATTTCCTTACATTAACTAAGGCTAAAAGATTGGCGTTCTGGGCGTTTGCTCTCACTATCACGGACCGTTCTAGTCCAAAATTAAGACCATTAACAATGCATTCTCATCCACAAGCGAAGCATTACCTGTCTGAGGTAATCGAGTTTATATGACATGTTCGGTATACAGACACAGATATTCAAAGTTATTTTATTTATTGTGACAGCGTTACAATGTACTCAACGAGTTGGGGTGTGATGCAAACACAGAATCGAAAACTCGTATGTATTAAAATCTAAGAAAACATAATTCGGTTATCGAAGGAATTAGCATTTTACACGCCGGAGTCACCGAGCGCAAATAGTAATTAGTTAACCCAGCGAGCGAGTTAACTATGATGCCGGTTTCTCCGGCTTCCGACTTCTATCGGTGAGTCTGTAATTGTTGGTGATGTTGTTGATGATGGTGTCAATGTGTGTGCCGGAAGTGTTGATGGTTTGGGTGCCGATGGCACTGATGATGTAGTTGTTGATATCTCCCTCATTGTGTTATAGAAATCACTTGCCATCCGAAGTGAATGTGGCCATACCCGATTATTAGACACACTATCAGATTTAATTCATCACATTCATGTCCGCTGTCGTTTGTGCTTCTTTATCGCGCGGTCCCGCCAGGAGTGGTAGGAGTGATGGGTATTTTTCTTCCAATTCTCGATATATGACGCCTCTACCCTCCTGGGCCTTAAGCAACACCCAATCCTTGAGGATTTTTTGTCCTCCTCTGTATACACGGTCCGTTTTTTTATTGGTCTGGCGGACTTCCGCTCTAGAGTGCGGTAATCTCATAAGAACTTTTAGTTCGGAAGCAAGCGAATGGTGCGCATTATGCTTGGTTGCCTCTGGTATTTGTTATATGAAAAACATGTCCCAGTCACAGAGACCTCCCCATCGGCTAAATGGGTTCTAGATCCTGTAGAGAGGAATACGTCATCTTAATCTACATGAATCTTTTGCTTTTTTTATGGTGTGCTCTCGAGAGCATATTGTCATATCCGTAATTCCAAGAGTCTTTTGAAAACTTGCCCAACCGCAACTCATCTTCCAATGAGCGAATATTTTATGGGTTTCGTATTAAGAGATGCAAAAGGGCTTTGAATGAGGTATACATAGGACTTTAATAACGTGAGTTTCAGCAATGTTACAACGTGGGTGTATTTAACAAAGTAGAGCAAGACGCAGTCTCCGTGTTCGGCAACGTTTTTACAACAAGAACTTGGGCATCGTACTCTTATTTATATCGCATTTGTGTTCATAACAAGAAGAGTCACTTATATTGATTGTCATATTAAGACACGTAAACAAAAGCCGAGTCACGTTCATGACGAAAGAATTTCTATACGATCAAGGTCACACAGGCTGCTTACTATTACAGTAGGGCAGACAAAAGTCTTTGTTCTGCATAATATTTAAGTTTGAAGGCATGCTCGTTGGGCGAGTAGAATACATGGAAGGAAAATTTACTAATACTGAAAAAACATCTGGTTAAAGAAACTGTAGATTAAGATCGGCATTTTAGTTAATGAATATGAGAAAAGCATGTCAGTGACAGTAGATATTTCCTTGTCCCACGAATTATTCTGACCTTTAATGATTTGGTTGGTTGATTTTGGGTGATTATTCATTCAACATAATGACGTTTACAAGCTTCCAGAGACTTTGGTTACTATAATCTGATCGCTTTAATCATTGACCATTTTCTTGGATTGCTTTTCGCTTTACAATAAATAAAATGAGGTTCTTTTATATAGAACCCCATATCAAATGCCAGCACTATTACCACTTAGTTAGATATGATACCGCTATCAATCTATTTATTCCTCAATAAAATTGGTAACTAATTCTAGTACAGGAATCTAATGGAAATTGAAAACATATTAGAATTCATATAAAATAGAGAAAGAATCTGGGAATGTTTTCATATCTCATGACTTACTTGCTGATCCTTGGGTGCAAAATGACCAGAATTCAACACGACCGCGCGCGTGAGATTCTTGTAAGAGGAAATATATCCGACTACTAATCCGTCTATGCGCCATATCTACACGCACAGAAAAACAAAGTGAGAAACATTTAGTCAATTCAGCATCAAATCTATAAAGGTCAGTTGTTTGATATCCGGTCTTATACCTTTCTCTTTGTCTTAAAGACACGTGATCCATGCCACCTGAGCGAATACAACCAGTCAGTATTCCCAGCGGCACCATCTCTAAAGTCCATATTTCCTTGATAGAGCAACACTTTATAATTCTCTATCAAAGTAGGAAACAAATTTTTTGTCGATCTCATAATATCACCCTACAATAGATAGTCGAGCATGTCGTCGGTCAACAGGTACACGTACACTGAACTCACCAATTATTCTTCCTCCCTTTTCAAATAAATTCATGTCATAAGGATTACATACCAGTAACGTCATCACGACAATGCCCGTATCTACGAAATATCTTTCTCCAATATTTAGTGCTTGCCTCATCTCAGTTGTGTTCATAAACTTTTTCACTCCTGATAAATCGTACATGACATTTAAACGGACGTCATAATAATTAATTCCCCCAGTAATGTTAATAAACTCATCGATGAGCTGCATACGCGTATCTAACGCGCCAAGGTAGTCACATTTTGCGAGTTTGTTGTTAACTATTTTTGCATAGCGGCGGAACCTGGCTGCATCCGCGCGGGTTATCAGACCTTAACAGAGACGTTCATAGTAGATAATAATAAGTGGTCAATGTAAGTGAACAAGTAAAATATCAGTTATAAAGGTAAATGAGCTTTCCCGCATCTTTTGAGATAAATACCATATTGAAAGGCGCTTTCCGCATGCTCTTTTACTTGACTTGCTGGATCTGTAAAACCACTGGCTACAAGGGTGAACGAGTAAAAAGACGCTCAGCGAAAAATTTTGGCAAATAAACTGTAGTTTTGTCAATAGCTAGTATGCGTTCATGATTAACGTCAGACAACTCTTACCAACAGATAATCCTACGAGAGGGATCACATCATCCAGTCGACACTCTTAGCATAGCAAATATGATGTCCCGTTAAAAACCTCTTAAAATCTATTATTTTGAATGCCAAAGCTGGCTTACCTTTCCTTGCGCGAATGTTATGTACATGGATAGCATACGATATTGAGGGAACGTACTTTCCCGCGTAACTTTCGCCTGAATATAGAGTTGACCCTTCAATGATTCGACCATATCAACTGATACCAAAATCTAATAATTTCTTTATTTCCACATTAACATTACCTGTTATATACAGATCTGATTTTTTCAACTCGGGATATCTTTTATAAAACCCATCAAAAAATGCCATGAGATCCTTTGCAACTCCCTTTTCATTCGATACATAGCCATTAAAGTATCCTGACTTCTCATCTCCGGTTGGACGGTCTTTCGGGCGCCTTGGTCTTCGGGGACACTTTGGCCTCCTTGGATGATGACAAAAGATACCTTCGTATGTCAAGTCTTCGTCTGTCAAGTCTTCGTCTGTCAAGTCTTCGTCTGTCAAGTCTTCATCTGTCAAGTCTTCGTCTGTCAAGTCTTCATGCTTATGATGATGATGATGATAATCACCATACTGTTCACTGCATTTGGGATTTTTCAATTCTTCATCTGTTAATGGGTCAACGAAAGAGTATCCCGTGCCAACTGGTTGATCAATGAAGACCATCGAATAATGTTTATTCCATGTTATATTGCTGCGCTTGATCTTGAAATCAGGCGTTCTAGTCAAGGGGCCATTCTGATGTTGACGTGTAATTTGGAGTTAGAAGGAGGCGTAGGATTATGAAACGAAGGATGTACAAATAGCGTATGTAGATCAAAGATACCTCATCAAACAATGCAAGCATCGACGTCATTCCCGGACCACCTTGTAGCCAGCTTGGTGAATATCATCAGGATAGCGTTAGATCAACATTGCGCAGATTAATATCGAATATATCAAATCACGGATATTTACACGATTAAAGGTGGGTTTTCCTGTTTTGGCTCTTGGGCAGGAAATAGCCAATAAAATCTATACGCAGACAAAGGCAATTACAGTCGAACGTTCATTATTATTATAGTTTCGCCGATTTCGCGAGAAGGCAATTCTGCTTTTCGCATTTTATCTAAATTGACTTACAAACTCGCTTTCTTTCCCTCCGCACATGCACTAAAATCTCTGACGTCGATATATCCGGCATAGCTCTTCTCTATTGGCTGTTCCCCTTCTGCATATGGTAAATTACCAACAAGATGGTCGTCTCTGGACGTATGGAAAAATTGTTGAGATTTATCGTAGTAGCTTCCAACGACTAAGGCTGCGTTCAGGGCTACTAAGCAGATGGATATGAGAAAAATGTTCCGCATTTTGGTGGGCGTGGGAGGGGCTGAACCCTATTACTATATATAAATTCCCTACACATGTTCGAACATTGTATCCGTTTTTTTGTCAAAACATTCTCTTATTTGGGTAGTGCATGTGCTCCAAAGATTATAAAGATTATCAAAGGGCAATTTATTTCGATAATCTAATTTCCAGTATCTTGCTATTGTGTTAAACCTAAGCTAGTCATTCTTACGCAGCGTATTCTTATTAAAATATGTTAATAAAGTTGCTTTGCTGTTTGCCTGTCGATTTGAACTTCTACCCCTTTAATCACGTGACCATTATTTTAGTATATTAATATTAATAGTGCTTGAACTTTAATCTCAATCACTGACCCTTACCTGACTTTTCTTGCACAAGTACGCGATAACTTCCTACCATTAAGGCAGGAATCTACGTGCGTGTTAGCCCGTAACTCAGTCACTTTTGCGAAGGATCTATTGCAGACGGGACATTGCCATTCAGGAATATTATTATTATGCACACCGGTTGTTGGTAATAGCTGGAAAAAAAGTTCGGAATTGGTCGGTAAAGAATCTGATTGGATGCCTATGTCGAACGCAATTTCGTCTGAATGTTCTGATTTCGCAGGAGTTGACGGTTGCTGTTGTAGTGCTAGCGAATGTTTAGTCGGTGACAACAGACTTTGCTTATCCTCGTTCATTGGTAGTTCTTCTCTAAGGCCGTTCTCAATATCCGCTCTACTCATTTCCTCGATCGAAAAGTTATCGCTCAACTTATGTAAAGAAAGGACCTGGTAATTAGTCATCTCTCCTAACGAGTTGGAGTCGTATTCGGTATTGTCGTTACTTTCTTTTACGTTATTATTTGTTGGAGAGTTGTCTTCGGATTTAATTTTTTTGTTTTCATATGGTTCATCAGTTGATATAAGAAACTGTAAGAGATCTTGTAAGTTCGTTTGTTATTAACATTCAAAGCAAGGCTCTGGTAAGACTCCACACACCCTCTTTACTCCTATTGTAGAAGCTTCATTACGGGATCTTAGATTTCCCAGTCGGATGCCAAGTAAGCGCACGTGTAGAGGTAATTCCGCTTCTAATATCTGTACATGATCCGAGTTACTCAAAGAAATGACGTTCCAATCGAACAACAGCTAAATACTCACTGGCAACGCGCAGTTATATATCTCCTTTTTTGAATAGACGTATTTCTGCAATGTCTTTGCGCGAGTGAACGTTTTAAAGGTAACTAATTTAAACGTTACGGTAACGACTTTGCCCTAACATAAGACGTGTTTAGACACAGCAGATCGGAGTGGTAAGAGTATTAGTACTAATACAGAATCCAAGGCGAATTACCTCTAAATTATCTTTTGCAAGATCATCGGCTAACAATCCAGCTAGTTCTTGGAGTTTTGAACGAATGTCAGCTGGCCTTCGGATTGATGGGAAGGTCCTATAATGAACAAGTTTAAACGATTAACAAGCTCTCTTACATCATGACTGACCGCTGATTGTAATCATCACATGACATACCGCGATACACTTAAACTCTTACGTGTCCATTCCCTAAGAACGATGACAAGAAATTAGCCATTGGGGTCTTTTTTTTTTCTTTCCGCCCGGTCTTTGTTGGTCGAGTTATACATACACATGATTGTTTTCATTACCGATTCCCAAAGCTACTCGTATAAGGAAAGCAAAAGTGCACGGATAGCACAACTTGTACAGATAGGTCAATTTTTCGTAAATGTCTTTACAAGTTTTAACATTTACTGCATTCAATATGCGTTCGGTGACGCGTCCGATTCCTACTCGAATGATATGGTTCAACGTCTTATTTAATTGCAACCGGTTATCTAATAACATTCATGTTACTAACCAGAAATCTTGCGAATAGGCAAGTCTTTTAGAAATTCGATTATTGCTTGGCGATCATTTGGCAACCTATACTGTCCGTTTGGTTTGTTAATGTCAGCACATACCTACAATTGAGCATTAATATTAACGATGAATTTTGATGCAATTATGGCTGGTATGATTCACACTAGTTGATAATCACAAACCTTTGCCAACATCCTATTTGGAGCAATTCCAGCACTTGCTGTTAGCTTTGTAACCTTTAAAATCTCAGCACGCAGTTCTTGCACCACATCTTCGGGAGACATGTCATTCTCATGACAATGGTCAGTAATGTCAAGGAATGCCTCATCCAAACTCATTGCTATAAAGTTTGGATCATATTTTGAAAATATAGCTGAGGGAGGGAGGAATAAGGAAAGAAATAAGCAAGGCAAGTAATAAATTAGTATATAATTTGAAGTGATAGATAAACATGCCTTGTGTTTGTTTTGACACAGCAGTGTATTTGTCAAAGCATGGCGGAATGATTATAAGTTTGGGACATAGCTTTAGTGCAATAAAACCAGGCATTGCACTGCGGACACCATACTGAATCAAAGAATGTAAATTTAGTACATTATTACATCTATTTAGGAGTCTTTACTTGGACATAATAGTTTATACCTTTCGAGCTTCATAATTGGCAGTTGTTAGCATTTGTGTACTACCGACTGCCATTGGTTTTCCTTTAACTGAGGGATTATCACGTTCTTCAACAGAAGCATAAAATGCATCCTATGTAAAGTAGTAAGAGTTATCATACATTGGTTGTGAATTTGTCAAATCCATTCATTCATAAATCTCACCATATCAATAAGAACTATGTAATGTGACAAGTCCCTTTTTTGTTCTAAAGCTTCAACCAGTGTGTTAACGTAGGCTCTGTCATATGACAAGTCTTGCTGTAATAATTCGACATAATGCTGCTTCAACTTGTTGACCTTTTCAGTAAGTTCAGTGTCCCTTTTCTCTTCATTCTTGAAGTAGGCCGAGTTCTTAATGTCGGGTGATGTAAATTCGAATATGTCAGTCGATGAAAACGAAAGATTGAATAAAAAAATTTATATAACAATAAATACCTTTGAAGCCTCGTAAATAACCCTATTGACTTTGCTTTTATCAACCTGTTCCAGACCGGCTTTATTTGATGCCAATCCGCCAAGTCTTAATAATAACGAGGCACTTGCTTCAGTTTCTATTTTACTTTCCTCATCTTTCGGTAACGTTTCGTTTACACATAATTTTATATCTTCCGCAGCAGTTGTTGGTTCTGACGCTGCTTCTTCGTTTTTGATGTTTACATTACTCATGTTATGTTCAATTGACTGAATCAATTCTTCTACTTGACTTTCTGACTTGTCTAAATGAGTGTTGTATACACAGCTGTTGACTCTGTTATCGACGATATCGTAGACATCGTGAACAGTATCAATCATATTCCGAATCGCGGTGCCTTCATTAATTTGGTTTGCTTTGGTATCTTTCTTTTCGTTAACATTGGCATTAGTGATATTCGCTACGTCCAATTCACAAATGTTTAGTAAGTTCAAGTCGGCCTCAGCAAAGTCGCGTTCTAATGCCATCTTTTGAAAGATCCTTTCGACGAGACCGAGTAGAAACTTGCAATCCGCAGTCGCCTTGAGTGATACTGTCTGTACGTTAGTTCTGATTTGTCACACAATGTAATATCATTTTTTTGTATTGTAAACCTTAATTGATTCATTGTAAAAAAGGCAATGATCGTAATCGATCCGACGTGACAAGCGAATGGCCTTTTTTTTTATCGACTCGTTGGCATTGTCAAGTTTAGTTATATTGCAAGATTCAACATTTTATTTATTTTATTCGTAAATAGATGTTCGATTTCTAAAAGTTAGTAATTAATTGTATGATCATCTTACTAATCCCGCTTTTCTTCTTGACGATGGCGTTGACCGTGAAAGTGATTATCTAATAAAATCAGCCTTTTCCTTAAAGAAAGTAGTGTCCTTGTGCTACGCAATATGGGAGGAGAAAAAGGTGATGTCATAATGACGACATTTATCCGTTTAGCGACAAACTAAGCATAATTCTCTAATTCAGTTTTAGGCATCGTCTTTGTAATAATATCAGCGTTAACTTACAACAAAATGATTCTTTATGTCAAATGCCTTGTTTTCTAGAGAACGAACTTCCGACGTAACTGGAAAGCCTTCGATGCATGTATCAGATTAAATTATTTTCTGTAACGATAATAGTACTGTTTATTCAACATGTTGGTCTTGCATGTATCAGATTAAATTATTTTCTGTAACGATAATAATATGTTTATTCAACATGTTGGTCTGACCAGGAATATATGGTTTATTGTATTGGCTTTATGCTAATGGAATTGAACATACCATTTCGTCAGTTTAATTACTGGATAAACATTTTTCATATAAACCAGCACATTCATGAGGCGCCGTGAATAGGTTTATAAAATTATTGTCAATTAATAATTGGCAGGATATCCTTATTGTTTGTGCAAACAATTACGATCTGAGATTTGTGTAATATAAACGCTTAAACACTTTTCCGGACATAGATAATAATAATGATATTTAATATATTCGATGAAATAACAAACTACAGAGACCGTTATGAAGACATACGTCTCGCAATAAGGATGCAATTACTAATAATAACAAATTGCTGTTAAAATTAAGTTGAAAATGTTTAGAGGATATTAATGGGCGCGCATTGGTATGTCCAATGATCATAACCAAGACCCAACTTATCCAATAATAAAGAATGACTCTTCAGGATATCTACAATAGTTCTATATGAACGTTCAGTATGAGAGTAAACTTCGCGCTGGCAATTGCAGAGTTAACTCATCAACGAGTTACCGGACAATTAATAAAGCTTTTGCATGCTTTGTAAAATATGGATGGCGACAAGAATTTGTTGAAGACAAAGATTGCGTGCTTCGACAAAGAATGACGAATTAACTTTTATCTCCCTCCAATTGGAATGGAATCTCTTAGTCCTCAACAGTGGAGCAACTTGTACTACAGAATTTTACAATATTGAAGTGCTTTAAAATATAGCAACCGACAGTTTAAGACATTTGTTTGGCCAAACGCGTTTCAAAGCATCGTTCAGTAGACCCAAGCTACATAAAAGAGTCACAATTACAACTTCAGTTTTAATTTTTTATATGTCAATAACAGTTAACATTAACTTGGTAGAGATATTACTATATCTTTTAAGCTTTGGATCATATCAAATATAGTTGATGTCGCAATTTAATTCTTGTATCAGAAGAGGTGCGATATCTACGAGTTACCATGTGTGATGAAGTGAAGCTGCACTCCATGATACACAATCTTCCCCGCACTTTACAAGTGGATCGGACTATCCTTGCATTTGTTGAAATAAATGAATCGAACGATCGATTTGGCTAATTAACATACTTGCAATAGAACTATACTAAGTTTAGGGTGATCATGGAACAAATTAATAATACACTGGGAAAGCATAAAACTATATGCACTATTCTCTCTATCTCTCTCTATTTTTATACGATCATGTCGCACAGTGATTTTCACATTCTTCGTAAGGAGTTACATATGACTAATTAAGTTAACGGGAGCCTACACAGAGAACAGTTTTACCATAGCAGAGCAGATGCTTCAACGTTGCGACAAACCAAAGACTTTTCTTTGTGCAAAGACCAATCGCTTATCATAATAACAAGGTTGCACACACAAAACTAAACTGTCGTTCATTCTCTCACATGGTTCTAGGTTTGAAAAACTATATAGGCACAGTTTTACTTAATATAGAAGAGAAAGTTGAGCCAATAAATTAGGTTATTTTGTGAAACTAGATAATTCTGATTTGTAAGTCGATTCTGAAATTCTTTGTCGGGTTAACATGGAAGTCAAGAATCTTGATATTTGGAATTGAACCACTAGCTCATCGATCTAGTAAGTTGAATGATCGTGATTCGTGAAAGGATAAATATCTGAATATGAAATGAGAAGAAATAATTACCAAGTTATATCCAATGTTGTATCAGTTAATATTGTATATCATTATGTTAATATTAATATGTACATTGAAGGTCTCTTTGAGGATACGCTTATTTTGCTAAAGATTGAATAGTTTGACTAATATGTACGTCCGTGTTATTTACTTGGCATATGATGTGACTATACATGATGTCACATTTGGAAGCTTGCCCTCATTGTAAGTAAGTAAACTTTCGTTTGAAACGTTTCTGCTATTGTGTTTATGTAACAATGACACAGGATAATTTTATACAGTTTTTCTTGCCCCAGCCCTTAATATCGATACAAATATTAGTATGGACTACAACTTGTAGAACCTTACCTCATTAGTTAAATGCATCTCAACACTGATAACATTTTCCATCAATGATGTTAACTGTATCCGGTTAGCTTGTTACGGCGGATCGACATTGTTGACAAGCTCCTGGTTTCATAAAAATTTGTGGAACTTGTGCCAAAAACAAGTCACTTGAATTGTACCAATCGATAACGGCTATGGTAGACGCCAAAGACTTACTTTATCTGGTGATAATTTCTAATGTTTACATTTTGAGATATATCGAGTTTTCTCTGGGCATGTGAGTTTAATAAGCATGCAGATAGGACCAAAATTAATGAGAATGCATAGCTTTTTTTTTTTTACATTGATAAGGTTTACAAACATGTAACGTCTATTGACACTACAGTAGTTGTAGCACAATTAATGACTTAATCTGGATATATGCAATTGCCAGGGGCCTTTGCAAAATAGACAGTTTACACTATCAGTTCATGAGTAATTCGACTGTGGCAAGATCATTATTCACGGAACGAATATCCTGGCATATCCAATTCATCATAGACATCCTTTTTGGATCGCAGAATGGAGATAGAGTTTAGCTCTTGCGACAGTTAATTACTAGACGTCACCCATATTGACGGAAAAAGACCACGAGATCGTTATGATTTGAATTTTCCCAAAATGCCCATCGATAATAATGAGCAATTTCTTTTACGTTCGAGTCAATATCAATAGGATAATATATCGAATAATTGCATTGTACTAAATAATGGTGGAAGTAAAAAAGATATTTTTATTTTTATTATCAAAATTAAATTACACCCCGCTTTACCCAAGAGGTGAAACTCCCCGATCTAAACATTAATTGCTTTTTACCTTATTTATATTTGCGGATTTATTACTGTTACCACATGACGAGACAGTAAAGTACCACGATATAAGATGTTAAACCCTGAAATCCATCCGTTTTGTTGTATAGCAGTTGTATGACTATAAATAGACAGTAATTTAATTATTATTATACCAGCCAACCAAATTATGTTTCCTTGTTATCGGAGTTGGGTCTAAGAAATTAAATGCAGATCTCACATTCTGTCATCCTTTATCAAGCCTCATATCCCCTCGGTTTTTATTTTCTCTCGTCACTTTCCTCAACCACTTTCTTCTTCCATTACCTCCTTATCTAATATAATCTAGTAAGCGCTTCTTCCATAATTTAATGTTTGTATTCGCACGTCGTTGTTCCCATATCTTCGACTGACCAGAATATAAATACTAACCGTTTTTGTAGGAATTCAATCCGAAAGTGTAGAAGACCGAAAAACTTGCATTAAAAATTATAATATATGTAAATGTCTTACACTCAACAACCGCCTACAACGCTGCATACAGATAGTTCGCGAGCGAGTCTTATCGATGTTACTAGCGGTGAAGCATTATTTCAACAAGCCGTCACTGAACGTAACTTCCTACGATCACAGAATGATCAGTTATGGAAGATAATAGAAAAACAAAATATCGTAATTCAGGGCATGCAAAAAGATATTCAAAAATTAGTAAATGAGCGAGATAGATTATATCAAAAATTGAAAGTTGACTCGTATGGGCAACCGTCCCCCGGAGAGGAGACTAGACAAATAACAAGGAAAGATTCCAATGACCACAAACAAATGGAGAGCGGTCCTGGGCTTGTTAATGGGTTGGCTGCGCCAAACTACCTCGGCGATAATTCTACATCACCATCTTCGTCAATATCAACAAGACAGGAGCTAAATAATGTAAGTATACCGACCATCAATCAATTTGTGCGACTTTTAGTGAGCATTCTCATTGACACATCAATTGCTGCATAGGAAGGACATGTTGATCATGGAATTCAGTTTACGCCCCCTCAGGAGGAAATGGAAAAACAAGTGAAGCAAAACGTTGAGAAAGTGACGCAGAAAATACAGGATGGCTCTGCGTCTTATATCGACTCTGAAATAGTATTGCGGCGTCAAGACTCGACCACCTCAGTTTCTACAACAGCTACTTCGATGACCTCAATCTCTGTATCTTCATTATACAACCTGTATGATAGACATGATCAACCGGCAATCCAAGAGACTGCCGAAACCACTCAAGAGTCACTTGTCGACAGTGACCATCCATTTGTAAATGAGGGCGATTTGACACCTAAACAACGACCAGTATCAGTGGTAAACATAATTCCACCAAAGCTGGCCAAAGAGTCTGATAATAATAATCTGTCAATAGTTCCACATATTACTATAGCACCAGAACTAGGCGGTTCCATAGACCGTACTTCTACAAAGACCCAATCAAGGGACAGTAGTCAATCACCAGAGTTAACTCATACCGTTTTAACTGATGATAAAAGAGTATTGTCAGAAAGTCAAAGCATTATTAATTCACCATCACATACAAGCCCGACCCCTGAGGAATCTACAACACCCGACCACGTATCATCACAAACTCACGCCGTAAAACCTTCTACTGTCCCAAGAGTCAATAGGCGTGAAAGTGATGACAAAACCGTTCTTCGGTCACAATCCAAACAACCAGGTCATCATTCTAAAACTCCTAGTTCTGTTCAACAGGATGTTGAAGGGGAACCAACACAGCCCACTCGGACGAGAGCACGCGAAGGCTACAACGTAAAATCAAACCAAACAGATAACGATAAACAATCCTCTCGACAATCTCTTTCTGTCAATAGCACTATCTCCTCGAATATTCCAACTACGCCAAATACTCCACCTATACAGAATACTGTGCCTGTACAAAATATTTCATCTGCACAAATTACGTCAACAGTACAAAATACGCAAAATATACCAAAAGTTATCGTTAATAATGGTCATGCTAGAACAGGTAGCGGTCTTCCTCACGTGAACAGTGTTCCTGACCTAAGTTCGCAATCGAACCCAACGCAAAGAATACCAAAACATTACAAATCGTTCGATAATGGTGTCATATCACGACAGCGTAATCGTGCATCAATGGCACCAAACGAAAAGACAAATAATGTTTCTGCGATGCCGGATAATGAAGGACGCGAAAGCACTGTAAGCGGTATTATAGCAGCGGCTCAGCAGAGTTCACAACAGCAGCACCTACACATGTTATATCAGTCATCTGCAGGATCCTCATCTACCACTTCTTTAGCGACAACGATAACTACGGCAACTACGGCAACTACAGCAACCACGACAACCAACGCAACCGCGATGCTTTTAGATAACTTGAACGGGATCACCGTCAAGGTTATTGGTAGTAACATAAAGATAAACGAAAAGGGCAGAGAGGTACTGACCTTTATCATTAGCGTTTGCCGTCAGAAGGTTGCTGAAGATGGGAATGTGGTTGGAGTGGAAGAGTTATGGCGTGTTGCCAAGTTATATTCCGACTTTTTAGCTCTCGATGTTAAGGTAATAAACACGAATAATAGTAGATTTAAAGGTTATAAAACTCTTGCATTCAACAGAAAAGACTTTTGTAATAAATCAATTCTCACGACTGTCTTTGATAACCAACAGCACAAACGACAAAAAAAATCGTAACAAAATTGGTAAATTGCCCGACAAGAACCTCTTCACAAACCATGCACCAAGCAAAGTTGATTTCCGAAAGGTTTGTACTTTGTTTATTAGTGAAATGTCTTTAATATATTACAAGATTCTGTATATTTACGATATCTTTATTATTTTTCCGTGCTTCAACAGGTTGCTCTTGAACATTATCTTCAGCGTACAATATCGTTGCAACGGAAAGATTATAAAGACTTGTGCGAGTTTTTGAGCACGAACGTAGTAGAACAGAATGAAAAGTATTATGTGGTATGAATGAGCTAGATAAGATGTTGAGAAAGCAGAAAAAGAGGCATGATTTTAATCGTATTTTTCTTTCTTACCGAATAGCCCGGCCACAAAAAAGGTTATTTAACAAAGCGCGGAAAGAGTTTTGGTGGTTGGAAGACGCGTTACTTTGTCCTGAGCAGTCCAGTTCTCGAGTATTATGAAAGCGTGAGTATGTCAAATTGATTTTACTTTTGGTATTAGTTTCCTTTTCTCACATTGCATTACTCATTCGCAACAGGAGGATGGTCATCACCTCGGCTCAATCCGGCTGACGGGCGCACAAATAGGTCGACAACAGGCAAACGTGGGTGTCGACCCTGAAGGATTCGGAGACGAAGATGCATTTCGCCATGCGTTCTTAATATTAGAAGCCAAGTCGGGCATGAAGGGCAACGTCCGGCATGTTCTGTGTGCGGAAAACGATACCGAAAGAGATGAATGGGTAGAGGCTTTGTTACAATACGTCGGTGAAGAAGACGTACGAGATCGAAGGAGTTCAAAGAAATTGGATGGCAAGAAAAAGCCAGTAATTGCCAAAGTAGACGCTAAGCCTATTGCTCAACTCGAAAAAGATGAAGTTGACCAGAAGCTAATAATCAGTGATATTACGTTAAGACAAACGCGAGAAGAGGCCCAAAATGAAATGCCACGTAACGAATCACCTACAGTGGTTGAACCGCAATCGTCGGCTTCCTCGACACCTTCATCTTCTCTAACACAATCCATATTATCCACATCTCCTCCTATACAATCGATACTCTCTTCTTCGGTATATTCATCTCAATCGTCGAGTTCGAATCAATCGCTTCAAGATTTTCAGTCTGGAATCGGCAGTCAATCTTCGTCGTCATACTTACCTAGCTTCCGTGATAGCGTTCCACCGCCAAAACGCCACGAAGAAGGAGAAAAGAAGGATCGGTCGCGTGTTAGGATGACGTTCTTTGGTAAATCAATGTTTGGTAATCCGAAGAAAGAAATTGATATGTCCAAGATCGTCTTTGGAATACCTCTTGATCAAGCTATTGCCGTCGCGAGAATAAAGGAAGGATATGAACTTCCAGCGGTTGTTTACCGCTGCATTGAGTTTTTGGATGCTCATAATGCTGCATTGGAAGAGGGAATTTATCGTTTAAATGGATTAAATACTGCAATTAAAGCATTAAAGGCTAAATTTAATGCTGAGGGTGATGTGGATTTGTTAAAGGAAGGAAGTCCTTACGATGTACATGCGGTAGCGGGTCTATTAAAGATGTATTTAAGAGAATTGCCGACAAGCGTGTTGACCAAGGATCTGCATCATGAGTTTGTTAATGTCATAGGTAAGTACTATGTGTTGATTTTAAAAGAGAATAAAGGGAATGTCTGCGTTTTATTTATTTATTCAACGCCATACGTTTGTAGATCTGTTAGATAGACGAGACCGTGTGAACGAACTTGGTCGGTTGGTTTCCGCTCTCCCTCTATCCAACTATACGCTCCTCCGAACACTGATTGGTCATTTAATTCGCATAGTACAGCATTCTCATACGAACAAAATGACTTTACGCAATATTGGAATAGTATTCTCTCCGACTCTTGGCATACCAGCAGGCGTATTTAATCTGTTTATGGCTGAATATGATTACATCTTTTTCACGGATGCCGATGGCTGTGCAGCTCCAAGGAGTCTTTCGCCAGATCTACAGGATGCGCAGCAAATGCCTCCTCAGCAATCGCCATCAGAAACATCTTTTCCCTCTACTAGCTCTTCCAATGACGGGTTAAAACCGCAGTCTCTAAATCCATCCAATATGGAAAACTCTAGTTTACGAGCAAACTACCTTCGCGAAGACGCGTCTGGTCGCACTAATCGGAATAGCGTCCAATACATGGAAGGTCTCCCTAATGCCCTTGTTGGACTTGAAAGAAAATTAACAATAACCCGCCGCGATTCTGACGACGAGGAAGTGAACGATCTTGCTCTACAAGCCGATGATGACGAAGAAGAAGAAGATCATTCGGCTGATGAGGGACAGAGTATAGCTGGAAATGTTTCTCCGACACCGCCATCTGCGTCAGTTCCCCAGAGTCCACAATCATTCAACCCAACCGTTCCGGCGTCGCCGAGGGATGAAAGTTTCGCAACAATGGAAAGTGGTGATTCTTTGGATGGAAAAGGGCGGCGGGAAAATACCGGGCAAAGGTTGAGCAAGGATGATTTGGATGCGATGACAAAGACAAAAAGGACGACAGTGAGAAACTTTTCATCGCTTGATTCAGTTTTATCTGCCTTCACAGACAAGAACGTCAATGGAGGTGTGGACGTGCGTGTAGTGCAGAAAGAAGAGTAAACGTATCTGTGGATAAAAGCGAATATTTATGTGACGCGCATTTTTGTCAATGTCTATTATAATTCACATTGCTTTAATATGCACGCGCTCATGTATTTATTGAGTTGGCGGAAGACTAACTAATTCATATCTCATCGTGGATATATATACATATGTTTGACTTAATTATTTAAATGTTTGTACGAACTTGTAATATAAACCTATATCGCAAAAAAAAAGAAAAAAAGGAAAGAAAAAAAAGAAGCTAATAAAAAAGTGTTATCATACATAATACATACAACAAAATGTAACAACAAAAGGAATAAAATTCCAAGTAGTTAAATAATAATATCATCATACACTTCGTTTTGCCATGCAACTAAAACCAAAATAATAACTATTCCCACTCCTTATTTTCCCTCCGAATCGCCGCGGTAAAGCGGAAGATCTTAGAAGAAGCAGCATCGATGAAATGGAGAATGGTGAATTAGTTGTGCCAAGCTTGTATGTTGGCATTCACCATCTGGACTCGTATGGGTTCATTCCTTAATTCTAACTCTCCTTTCTATTTCCTCTCCATTCTATTCCCACCCTCACAACAGATCTAGTCCAAAGCAACCAGATATAACTAACTTTGTTATATCCTCAACTATCGCATACGATAGTTTCATTGGTATTTGCCTCTTGCTCTGCTCCTTCGGCAAAACCGGGAGCTACTCCACGACGATATTTTGACCGTTTAGCAAGCAAGCAACCCGACCAGTGCTTGCACCGGTCCAACGAATGACAGAAAGACATTGATGCCGCCCGTGTGGTGAGAAAACCGGATATATAGACCGTACATTTCATATAATGCACGATTAAGTCTACTCCTCCGTCTCCGGATCTCACCCTGATAATTAAGAGTTTAATGAAGAACGTTCACAGCAGGCCGTCCACCGTACGTCAAGACTGGTCAGTGAAAATTCACCCTGTACGTCACTCCACCTCATAACCAGCTTATTATATATCCTCGTCATTTAATACTAATGAATAAAAAAAAAAAAAAATAAATGATTCGGGTTTCGATATTATAAACTGATTTTAGTATTCGACGTTCGATGTTTAATTACAAAAAAAAATTGACAAGGTTGTACTTTGAACGTTAGCGATAAAGTTCAACTTAAACGTCGAAATGTAGATGGTAGATTGCAATAGAACTTTTCCTCCTCTATTTTCATTGACTTTAGATCGTGTTTTCTTAAATGGACGTTATATGTCCTTTAATATAGGAAGGGAGGTTAGCGGGATGATTATTTGAAGGAGATCGGGCCCAACAAGAAAATAAATACTGATAATTAATAATTGGGTAAACGTCAATACTAACATTAGTCGCGTTGCATCAGTCGCGTAAATGATCAAAGGCCAAATCTTTCTCGAAGGTTCTTCGTAGTTACACAACTTGTGTGATGTTAATGTGATGTAAACTCTAATTTTTTTATTTTATTTTATTTTATTATTTTTATTTTATTTTTTGCCACAATATAAATACACCACCGTCTGAGCTTTGAGACTCGCAGAGCGAGGAGGCTCTCGCCTCACAAGTTTCCCAATATATCGGATTTGCTCTTGAAGAAATTCGTCTACCTTCTGCAGATGAAGAGAGGCAGAGCTTCAAAGCTTTGCTTCTCAACAATTATTTTGTAAAATAATCGGAGACTGCCCGTATAGGAAGGGCCTTATGTGGCAGAGAAAGCAACAGGAATCATAATGAAGGAGGGCGCGTAAGCGCCTTTGCTCCGCAAATACCAATTTTTATATCGCTATGGATGCAACTGCAACTACGAAATTACGTTCCAGAAAGAGTTAGTGAAAGGGGTTTGGCTTTTCTCAAACGAAAATTCAGTCATATGCCATTGGCTCCAGTTTTATTGTTTTAAGCACAATTTATCGGCGAAGCCGTGCGCTTTGCGTATTTACATTTAATAAAACCGATCTTGAGCGTGTTTCATAAAGCCATTTAATTACTACATTCTCGATTTTCCTAACTGACCTAATACGTTTTTTCCATAGACGGTATAATAGTTGCTGCTCGATTTTTTTTTATACAGAGCTACTTGGATTTTAAATTCCTTAAATTTAGAATTAGGCACACTCACAGAGCGAGTAACTATGTTGTACCTCAGTTGGGGACCTGTCTCAGTTCTGGACTGAGACGACTGGGTTCTGGACTGAGTGTCTGGGTTCTGGACTGAGACAACTGAGTCCTGGACTGAGTGACTGGGTTCCGAACTGAGACAGGTCCCAAACTCAGACACAACAACTATACATTCATTTCTGGTTAATATGGAATACAAAATTTTCCCAACCGTCCTGATAAGAAATATCAAATCCTGGTATTTTTGGGTGGACGATACTTTGCGAATCGTAACCAAGATTCCGATGTTTTCAAATTTTTGATATACATTCAGTTAACCTGTTTCGGGCGTATATGTCTTTTGCCCATATCTTTGTAATATTTTGAATATTGGTCATGTCTATTAATTTGATATTTCAGATTTTATTAACTAATCCTCTTTTCTTTTTTTTTTTTTTAATTCAAAAAATTTACTCTACATGCCGTACGGTTAAAAATTATTCTGTTGACATGTGTACAGACATATATCATATGATATCGAAGTAGGTAAAATAAATCAACGAACAATTGGCGCTGAAAGTATTTTACTCGAAATATATTTTTTTACTGCATATAAATACACAACTTAAAATATACAACAGCCAAAATAACAACAAACGTTGAGTCGGTTTAGCTAGCTTATGAAAGATTTACAACTATGGTTGTGCCTTTTATAGAGCAAAATACATCGGATAACAATCACGAAGAGGCAAAGCCCCGAGTCTCTGACTATATCGCAATGGCAACACACTTCTACTGGTAGAGTGATACCCAGGATCACAAGTGTTAAATAAAAAATTCAGATTTCTTTCCGCCAATTACTAAAGATAGTGAAACCTGAATTTCGTCGAGAAATTATAAACGCGATGTCAAAGCCAGTTGTTTCCAACAGACGTTGCAGAGGGCATAGAAAAAAATGTTAATTTTAGTAGTTACTCATCTGAATCTTTTAATGATAAAGAGGTGTAATTAAAGTAAAGCAAAAAAGCGTGATTAGTAATTATACAGATCAATAATTTTGTCTACTTCCGCCATTGCATTAGGTCTAGAGGCGAAAGCCTCCTTACTTCGCGAGTCATAGATTCGAAATGGTCTTGCTTGATCTGGAGATACTTCCCTTGGCCAACAACATACACTACCCTATCAAAAGTATCTGGTCGATTAATAAAAATTATATTTGATTATAAATATTTAATATTTAGTTGGCCATCCTTGGTTTTTAATACATGCTTCAATCCGA